GGGGGGGGGGGGGGGGGGGGAAATCCATGCATCTCAATTGATGTGGTAGAAGTAAAACGGGAGAGCATGCCAGTAGACTATCTAGAAGGAACTGATATAATGAATTTTCAAATCCAGTTTGAGGGGGGTTGCTCAAAACACTAGACCGAAATTATAACTACTTCTTCGAAGTGAAGTGATGAATCGAAGGGCTAGGATTTCCCGCTGAGGCAACTACAGAGGATGATCTGTAGCAAGATCCCAAGAAAATGAAAGACACGGGGCTCGACATTGGCAGCCCACTTATACTGACTACATCTAGGCGAACGGAGTTCTAACAGCAGTATTAAGCAAATTTTGTATTTACAGAAACACTCTCCCTGGCATAAAAGAATGCAGTGGATGCTCCAGAATTGTACAAGCGATAAGTTTGTAAGGGAAAGAAGATAGAGGCAGCTCTTCCAGTAGTTGTGAGCAGGGTTTCTCTCGAAGTCTAAATGCTTTCTTGTCATGTCAAGAAATTGGTAGGGATGTTACTCGGGACTATAAACACTACCATTTTAAGAAAATAGCCATTCACTGACCAAAAAAGAACGGAGAGGAATTTATACTTGCAAAGAAAAGAAAAAAACTTCTTATCACCAATTTGAAACCTAATTTATATCGCAGTTCAAGCCTTGAGAGAGTGAATCAACAGGCCAGAGTTTTGAAAAAAACAGATAGAGCAAACCATATTACCTGGACAAGAGCATTTATAATGAGCAGGGGTTCAAATTTTGAGCAGTTACTCGCCTCAATTTACCATATACAGCGGGTGAGAACTGCACAACAATGAGATTTACGTATCATTTCACATGTTGCTTCCCGAAATAAGAAATAAGTGAATGATCTGAAACTCAAATTGATATGAGCACAACCCACACACATACAAACTCTCAAGAAATGCATGAATGATGTCTGAGTAAGCATTATATGGAATACAACAGGAAAAATGGGCATGGAAATTACTAGTTCAGGTAGACATTAGATGTGGAGTGTGTTCAACTAGATTGATCCTGCTCTATAACTACTATGAGGTCAATCAAAAAATCGCAATGCCATATCATAAATGAAAACCTGTGAAACATAAAAAACACAGCACACCATTTCATAGAAACAAGGCCAATCGCCAAGTCTTTATCTTCAGTTAAAGTGCAATATTATTCATCTATGACAACCTTAATTAATGCCCCCATAAGCTTCTTTGATTGAACATCTGCTTTCAACACTATAATTCGATCTTCTTTGAGAAGAATCAACACAATATTTGCTTCCAGTCTCTCCACTTGACCGATCTTTGAGATGCTTACTTTGTTAAGGCCACAGCAATCCGTAGAAACAATGGCTGACTCATTAGTGATGGTGCTGATCTTTGAAGTGGGAGTATTATCAGAGACGGAGGACGTTTCTGTAGGAGCTGAAACAACTGGATTTAAAGCTAAAATAGAGATCTGAAACCAAGGAAAACAAATTTAGCCAAATAAACCAAGAAAAAAAACATAAACAACATCGCTAAATAACAAGCCGAAGTTCTTAACACGTCTAGCAAACACATAGATAGCATGATAGATTTGTGAATCACTGCCATTTTTTCTCAACCAAAAACAAAAATACCACACAGAAAATGGAATGTTAAAGGACTTTTATACGGATTATTTAACAGGAAATCAATGCATATTAGAAAAATATCAATTACTCTATAATTATCATCGAGTATGCGCAAGAGAAAAGCTGAAGCAAAACTGAAATGCACGATTAGAATGGTCCCAAACAAGCAATGGAAAAATCAGAACCACGCTCATGGTTAGGGGGGGGGGGGGGGGGGGGG